ACCAACTACTAAACACTCAAAGAACATGGTTATCATGTTCTGGATGCTCTCATTTTTAAAGAGTATATTACGCAAACTTCTTAAGATGAATAAAGTAAGTGAATACAGACGGAAAGTTTTCAGTTTGCTAAATTCTGTATAATTAGCACAGTGACAGGCTGAAGCAAGTGTTAAACAAACATCTCTTCATGATACATCAACCCCATTCCAGCACTCACTCCGTTCCAGCGGGCAAAGGGAGCCAACGACTAAGTCAAGTTTTACCAGCCATTTCTTTTCCTTGGCTCTATTTGGGCTTCAACATTCATCTAAAAAGATTCATCAACTAGTTCCTAGAGTTTTATAAAGAAAAAGAATTTTATCTAGAAAATCTAAATTTTGGTTCAGTTCCTTAAAGAGATGTTAGAGAGAAAAGGGATAGTCACCAGGGGGTTGTTTTACAAGCAAATCATAGGGGCCTGCAGGAGACCCAGATAGCTCTCTCAGTATGACTCTGCACAGGCAGACATTTTGTGAAAAATCTCTAGTTCACCCATAATAAGGATAAATTCATACATACCAGAGACAAGGAGGGATGGATGATGAGAGCCCATCTGTTAAGTGCCAGACCAGAGTATTGAAACAATGTTTTACAAATTGTCTTCTCTGTGCAACAATATCACACAATCTATGTAATACTATCAGCCATGCAGCTTCTGCCTGAGATCTCCTTAAGAGTTTTACTCTACATTGGTCACTGTCACCCTTTAACAGTTCTGTCTTACATTTAATTTCAAACTCTAAATGACCGTTTAAGAGGTAGAATAGCCATTTTTGCCTGAAAGCTGTTGCTCCTTGTGAAGTGGCAGAAGTTGTTGGTAGGTCATCTGAGGTGTTAATTCCAAGAAAGATGTTGACATTTTTCAATATTCTTGTGTGTTATAGTGTCTCCAGCCAGAATGGGCTCTCTACTTAAGCACAACGGATCTGGAGTCATGGCTCTTCCAGCAGCAGGTCATGCCTCAGCTATCTGATACTAAGCATTTAAAACATTATAGGCCCCGTGTCTTCTGTCTTTCCTTACACTATCTAGTAAACGGGGCCACTCTTAGTGTTATGTTGGAGGCGGGCATAAAATTACAAGTAGACTGTGTAATCTTGGAGGAAGGGGTTTCTTAGAGTCTACATATGTCTTGGTCAAAAATAGCAAATGCTTGAAACAAGCTTACAGCAACACAAGGCTAACTAATTCCCTTATAGTTCTAAAATGTCTCACATTAGCATAACATAGACTGGTTAGCATAACATAACTCCTTTCAAGTTAACGTAAGCTAGTTCCCCCAAGAAACTTCCAAAGTGTTCCAGTCTCGGGGATCACTTCTAGAATGGGCTCCTCTTGGTTGTAATTCCTTTCATGGAATCACGACTTAGAGATGGGCAGTCATAATGTTTGGAGCTAAAATGCCAATCAGTGGAGTCCAGTTGGTGAGAAAAGTATCTCCAAAGCTAAGCAACAAAAGCACTTTTTGAGCAATATTAATATGCAGGTAGGAGAGCACTTCTCTAGCTCGCCCCTCTTCTTGGAATCTTCTTCCCCTAATTACCTGTATGGCTAGTTTTCTCACTTCCTTCAAGTCCTCCCCTCCAAATCCTGCTTGTTCAAATGAGCCTTCTCTAATGGTCCTGTTTAATTCTCTCACCTGAGCTGATCCCTCATCACAGCATCCCAGAAACCTCTATCTCTACCCTGCACTAATGTTGTATTTTTTCCACAGCTCACACACAAAGTGCATAGCTTATTTTATTTGCTATATTTATTTGGTATGTCTTCACTAAAATTTAAGTCCTATAATGGGGGAAGGAACTCTTGTCTATTTTGTTCTCTGATGTTTCAAACACTTAACATAGTGCTTGGCACATAGAAAGAGGTCAATGTATATTTACTGAATAAATAAATGTATATAGTAAATGTAGTAGAAAGGTAAAAGTCAAACTATTCTAAGAGAGTTTAAGGGCCAGCCCCGGAGGCCTAGTGGTTAACTTCAGTGCACTCCGCTTTGATGGCCTAGGTTCAGTTCCCAGGAGCAGACTAACACCACTTCTCTTCAGTGGCCATGCTGTGGCAGCAGCTCACATACAAAAAGAAGAAGGTTGGAAGCAGATGTTAGCTCATGGGAGTTTAAAAAAACACTATGAAGAGTCACAGAAGTCTATATTTTTCTGCTGGGGAAAAATACAGTGAATTGAATTGCTTGATGCATATGAATTGCTCAGGAATTCTGGGAAAGGAAAAATGAGCATTTTTGTTTCCTGATAAATTTTTGTTTACATTTCCCTTGTTCCCAGTGAATTTTAATCACCAATGTCAAACTAGAAACAAAAGTTAGGCCTTTATGCTTTCCTGTGGTACAGGCCACAGTTCAGATTTCAGACAAATAAGAATGTCAGCCAATGTTAATTTTGTTGTTATTATTTCTGTATTCTCTTTCCACAACCAAATGAAATCATTAGTTAACACAACAGTCTCCCTGGAAAACACTGGTTGTCATTCAGTGAATTTTCTAAGACTCCTATTTCCTACAAATTTGCTATTTGGGAAGAATTTTCTTTTTTAAATCTGACACAGTAACATTTCCAAATAACAGAACTAGAGGGTCAGGTTCACCTCCAATGAATTCTATCAGACCCTATCTTCAGATGCTAAGGTTGAACCAAATGAAAATCAATCCAGAAATCCATCTTGGGTACATCTTGAATTATTACCATTCTACACTATTTTCTTGGGGAAAAAATGATACACATGAATACATATAAGTGTGTATATGTACTCTTCTCTGGGTGTGCATCTTCACAATGACTATCATGGGAGTCAGTGTGATGTAATGGAAAGAACACTGACTTTGAAGCCAAACGGACTTCAATCTGGATCTGAACAATGCCAGTTTACACCCCTTGTACTCTCAAAGTGTCCGATTTGGATGATAAACTCCTATGTTATTCTAAATAATCTTTATAAAATCTCTGATATGGTTATTGGCAACAGTAGTTGCTCAATACAAGGTTGTTGTTACTTAATAAATGTAGATGCAACTCAACTTCCTCAACATCGTCAGGGAGGCACCACTCTGACTTCCAAGAGAATTATAATAGTTACTAACAAAGAAATGAGAAGAAAAGAAAATGGAGGGATATCTATAAGTCAACAAACTGTTGAAAATATCAGGAAGAGGTCACTGGCCATTTCATGAAAGGAATGAAGGGAAAAAGCACCAATATCAAGGTCATCATTAAACCCAGATTCTATTCCTGGCAGCATAACTTTGAGAACCCTTCTGAATTATGCCTCCATAGGGAAAAAAAAAATTCCAAATTAGCAAGAAGAAATAACATTTTTACCACCATTAAATTACTACAGTATGCCTTCCAAGGAAAGGAGAGATTCTCTTTCTGGAAGAAATGAAGACACCTGCAAATATCAACAGTAAGGTCACCATTCTTGTAGTACCTCCTATGAGCTGAGCACTGGGACTGATATTTTACCTGCCTGGTCTCTAGGTGTTCAACCTTCAACACAGGCAGTATAGTTAGACAAATTTTACTGAAGAGGGAAATGTCTTAGAGAAGATGTATAGCATGTCAAAGAACACACAGCTCATAAGTGATGGTGATGCAATTTTAATCCAGGTCCAGCCAAGTTCAAAAGGGATAGAGAGCTCAGGTTTCATGCCATTTCCAATCCCACGCTTTGCCCCAAAATTAGTGTTTTGAAAGATTGGACACATACGCAACACAACTAGGGAGGATTCTGTGAGACAACCAGTTAATCTGCAAAGGATCATGAACAACACCTACCTTCTCAGCTTTTGAGGTAAGGAATGATATGAATCTAAGGGGTCCTCTTAGTAAAAAGTGAACAGTCAGTATGTGAGGGGTATGTTGAATCTACACTGACTTCAACGGTGAGGCAGAGAAAGTGTGTGGCTAAGAATCTGACAGCAGGAACTCGCCCCTCTACCCACTCACCTTTCCCTGCCCCCCACACACACTATTTCAGGCTTAGAGAATAGCCAGGCCCAACAACACTCCCACTGAGTTTGTAACTCATCTACCCTTCACACTAAAGTCTACAAGAAGCTATTTTTTGCCTCATTTGATTTTTCACTAAGGAAACAATTCTCAAATTTTAGAGACTATAAGAAACTATAGAAAAGTTCTATCTAAAATAGCTGCAGATTTAACAGATATAGTTCAGGGCAGCTGTCCATCAGGAAGTAGCACAAATTCATCTCCAACAGCTTCTGAACAGCCAGCCCCAAATGACTTCTGTCATTATCAGTCTAGGCCTATTATGAGCCAACAACCCAGAGGAAAATATATTGGAGGCCTTTCTCAAGGGCTCTATAGCCAGGCAAAATACAACGAATAGCAAGATCTTAAAATACAGCTACTTGTCTGTGTTAATCCTATTCCCAACATTCTCTGGCTCCCTAGGGACTCTGGAATAGAAACAACGCCACAGCATGGCAGTGACTTTGAGAGACAGAACTGCATTAGAATTAAGGTCACTCATTAGCTGTGTAACCTCAGGAATTACCTTAATCTCTCTAAGCATTAACGGCCTCATTTACAAAATAAGATGCTATGAATGTCTTCTTAGGTTGTCAGAAAAATTACATGTGACATGTGAGGTAATGATAACTGATGGTTACCCAGCATTTATGATGTGCAAGATGCTGGATGAAGTAAGCCCTACTAGTAAATGAGTAAACTAAGGCACTAGACTTAAGGAATTTGCCGAAATTCACATAATTAGAGTCACAGAAATATAATTGGAGCCCAGGGAATCAACACAGCCCATGCTCTTAACCCACTGTGCTTTACTGCCCAGTATGGAACTCTGTACTGAGTAAAGACTGAACAAATACGAGTCACAGCTACTCTTATTCTTGTGAATATCCCTATATCACACAACGTGAGGTTATATGGAACACTGAATACCCATACCAAAGAATGCACAGTACCTGGGACATGGCTGCAAAAATTCTCCTTCGACAATGCAGGCCTCTTTCTCAAGAAGTTCAGGGCACTCCCTTCCACCTCCAATAGCAACATGCTTCACATTGCGGCTCCTGCTCCTGAATCCTGGTGACAGACTCCCTGAACGACATGTCTTGGAGCAGGAACTCCAGGGGGACCACTCAGTGGTTTCACAGTCTTTCGGCAAGATGCAGGACTGGACAGTCAAAGGGAAGGAGTCTTGCATGCAAAGGCTAAGGAACAGAAGTGAAGAACAACAGGCCACAGATTAAATGGATGCAACTAATATTATGAAGTGCCTATAATGAAAAAAAAAAATGAAATCTGGTTTAAGCATTCAAATGTGAGGATTTAAAAAAAAATGTTAGAGGTATCATGATAAAATATTGGAGGACATACATTGTAAGAATGGACGCTCTATTTCATCTCATCAACAAGAAGTTTCTAGGTTTTGACTTTTCAGAAATGGTTACCAGCTAAGGAATGCCCCCCATCCACCCTCTCCACCCCACTCAAATTCATATGTTGAAGTACTAAGCTCTAGTACCTCAGAATGTGTCTGTATTTGAAGACGAAGCCTTTAAAGAGGTAATTAAGTTACAACAAGGTAACTAGGATGGGCCCTAATCCAATATGACTAGTGTCTTATAAAAACAGATTAGGACGCAGACACACACAGAGGGAAGACCACGTGAAGACACAGAGAGAAGACAACGATCGACAAGCGAAGGAGAGAGGCCTCAGGAGAAAACCCTGCTGACACCTGATCTGCGATTTTCCAGCCTCCAGAAATGTGAGAAAATTAATTTCTGTTGTTTAAGTCACCAAGTCTGTGGCACATTGTTAAGACAGCCCTAGCAAACTAATCCAGAAATTTAATAAAGGTTTTCAATTTGTGTATGTTTTTAGAAAAAGATGTCAATTTCCAAAATGGACATTCTTCTTCCTTTAATAAAGAAGGTCCTACAGTACGTGGCTCTCTGTACACCGTTGAAGTAGTGGTTTGTTTCTTCCCATTTGCCAACTTTCATTCTCTGTGCTCATCTTCCCCTGACTGACTTTTCCTGTTGGGCCAGGAGGACAGATACCAAGACTCCAACAGTACCAGCACTTGCATGGAATTGCAGGGATTAATCAAGGGCTTTGAAAAGGGCTCCTAATTCTTAGTATTAGGAAGGGCACATGTTCCATTGGATACATATTTACTTATTTTTTTTTTTTTTAAAGATTTTATTTTTTTTCCTTTTTCTCCCCAAAGCCCCCCGGTACATAGCTGTGTATTCTTCGTTGTGGGTTCTTCTAGTTGTGGCATGTGGGACGCTGCCTCAGCGTGGTCTGACGAGCAGTGCCATGTCCGTGCCCAGGATTCGAACCGACGAAACACTGGGCCGCCTGCAGCGGAGCGCGCGAACTCAACCACTCGGCCACGGGGCCAGCCCCCATATTTACTTATTTTTAATGTTACTTTCACTAATCTGCCTCTTTGGTTAAAAAAAGAATCATACAGGTTCCACCTAGGGCCCTAGTCTAATTGAATCAGGGAGATTCCATTTTACTGGAATAGTGGGATGAGCACTAAATGGTGAATCAGAAAGATCTGGGTCCTGAATTTTGCATCACAATACATTAGCATGACCTTAGTCTCTTGGCTGGTTAGTTTCATTATCTGTAGGAAAAAAGAATAATAAAACGTGATCTGCTCATCCCCCAAATCTGTGGTAACCTTTAGTGTTAAGTAGAATTACCTTATAAACTAAAGCCCACAGCAAAGATCATTGTCTACTCACAGGAATGGGAATCAATCCGTTCATAGAAGGTGGTGTGCCTTTTTAATAAAACAGATATATACTGTGGATTTGTCTTTTAAAAAAAGAGATGCTACGGTAATTATATATCCTTGACATTTATAGAGTACATTGTCATTTGTAAATTACTTCATAAGTATTCAACTGTAAAGGAAATCTTTGAAACTAAAAATTACTCTAGTAATTCTTACTTCCTCAGGAAATGTTAAAGAAATCTCTTTACTGAAAAAATAAGGACAGAAACTTTTATAAAAATCAAGAGAAAAGTACCCTCAACTACATTAACACTTCAATTACCACTTTAAAATAATATTAAATATCTCAAATATTCATAAAAGTAGAGTAACATAATAGATGCTCCCATAATTTAATGGCAAAGGCTAACATTTGTTTCAGATTTCATTAAATAAGTAAAAACTTAGAAATTCAGGTGAAATCCCCTATGCCCTTTGCAATCCTAGTTCCATCTCTCTTTCTCAGACACAGCCACTATTCTAAAATCGATTTGTACTATTCTCCATCAGGCTTTTATACTTTAACTAGACATGTATATGTTCATAAATAGCACATGGCATTCACTGTCTTGCATGTTTTTAACAGTTTTACTTAAATGTTTTATTATACATATGACTCTAGAAATTATTTTCTTCCCTTAATATTACGACTTCTAGACCTATCCATGTTGATAAATGCAGTAATATTCATTCATTTTTATTAGTAAGTAATATTCCAATATGACTACACAGCAATTTATTTATTTATTCTCCCATTAGTGCATCTTTTGGTTGTGCTTAATTTCTTGCAATTCCACCAGACTATGTATTTAAGCTCTTTTCACATGTTTCTATGTTGTTAGACATGTGTGAGAGATTTTCCCTAGTATTTTTGCTTGGAGTTGGCCATAAAAATTCATGTAATCAAATCTGCTAGGTATTGTGAACTTTTCTTTCCTACATGCTCAAAACTCTTGGTTATTATCAGACTTACTTTTTCCAAAATGTTGAGAAGTGCATTCGACTTCTCAGATTACCAATGAGCTTTATATCTTTCTCATATCTGTAGTGACTACTCAGATCTCCTGTCCAATGAATTGACCATCCATACCATTTGTCCATTATGGTAGGCTGACTAACGGCCCTCCCAAAGATGTCCACATCCTAATGCCTGGAAGCTGTGAATATGTTACCTTACATGCCAAAAGAGACTTTGAAGATGTGGTTGTTAAGGATTTTGAGAGGAAGAGATTATTCTGGATTATGCAGGTGGGCCCAATGGAATTACAAGGGTCCCTATAAGAGGGAGGAAAAAGGGCCAGAGACAGAGAAGGAAATGTTATAACAGAATTAGAGGTTGGAATAATGTAAGGCAAGAAATGGGTGAAGCCTCTAGAAACTGGAAAATACAAGGAAATGGATTCTCCCCTAGAACTTCCAGTAAGATAGAATAATGTTCACATTTCAAGATTTCTTCACTTTTAGGCTTCTGACCTCCAGAACTGTAAGATAATAAATTTGTATTGTTTTAGGCCCCTTAGTTTAATTTCCTACTGAATCAATAGAAAACTAATATACCCATTTTTCTATTGGGTTGCCTTTTTTCTTATTGAATTTAAAAATTGCACTCATACACATTTATAGATGATGACGATAAATAGATATAGAGAGATAAAAAGAGAGAGTCTATGCACAAGAATACTTCCTGAGTCCTATCCAGTAAGAATACTGTATAGAATATAGCATTGTTGTTTGTTCTATATGTTACAAATATCTTTTCCCATAATTTTATTTTTAATTTTGTTTACAGTGACTTTTTGTGGTACACAATGTTTTTAGTTTGTTGTTCAATCTTTCACTTTATAGTTTGTGCTTTTTATATCAAGTTTAAGTTTCTTCCATATCTCAATGCCATAAAGTTATGCTCTCATATTTCTTTTTCCAGAAAACTTTTATACTTTCCAATTTCTTATTTAGGGCATCAATCAATTTGATAAACATTTTCATGTATGGTGTTTTATAGAACCTCTTTTTTTGGAAACATCAACACTGAACACATTTGTCCTTCTTGTTTAACCTACATAATTCTGATTATTTTTCCTCTATTTTCAGTGTTTTTCTCTTTCAAAGAGATGTCTTAAAATTATCTTTAAGCTTTTTCTTAACACATTTTGCAATCAAATTTTTAATGTCCAAAATTACTTTCTTATTTCCTACTTATTCCTTTTTAATACTGTCCTACTTATATATCATGCATGAAATATTTCATTATGTGTCGTTGACTATTAATCATAACTTTCTTTTTTTTACTTTAGTGATGCTTTGCTCTTATGAATTAGAATGAGGTACACAGATTGGTGTCCAGATTGGAAGCTCTTTGATTATAGGTGGTGTTCATCAAAGGTAAACATCACTGTTAGCTGTTCATGCAGAACTCAGACCATTCTATTAGAGACCTGCAAATGTTGGTCTCCTTCAGTCTTTACTCTTTAGCTCACGTTTCTCCCAAAATAGGAATCCTTCTATCTCTTGCGTCATGTGCATCGACTCACTGTTATCTTTATGAAAGCTGATTGGAGAAAGAGCTGTCAGGGCACTCACAAACTAAGTATGGATTTTCATTTAAGCTGCACATTCACGGGATAGTGTGTCACACTTAGACTATGTTCTGCAGGTAAGGGAGTAATTTTTAGGCACATTGAAAACATTTGTCCTCAGAATTACTTACTGCCTATAATTCTTAAGCCTTCCAAGAATCTTATGTTAGTTAGAATAGAATAGGCTATATGGTGGTAACAAATAATCCCTGAAATCTCAATGGTTTAACAAAGTAAGTGTCCGTTTTCCTTTCCCATAGTTTGATGCAGGTTATTCAGCTCTCCTAGAAGGCACTGCTCTACCTGAAGACTTAAGGATCCAGCTTGCATCCATCTTACAGATTCACCGTCTAGAATACGTGGCTTCCAAGTTCACCTTTAGAAAGGAAAGGTAGACTAGGAGGATGGCCCAAAGTGATTAATGACTTTAGCCTAGAAGTGGCTTATGTTACTTTTGCCCACATTTCATTGGCTAGAGCTCAGTCAAATGGGTCCAGCATAACTGAAAAGAAGACAGTGAAACATCTTTCTGTGTGCCTTGGAAGGGGCACAAACGTGCTGGCCATAGAGCTTTGTGTCTGATCCAGCCGTGCCATGTCAACTGATTTGCTTCTTGCAGATCTTCGAGCTGAAGGGGCGCTTTCAAGCTCATCCAGTCTGCTAGGTAAATTATCACTCGTCCATCTGCTTTCCAGTTCCCAAAATCTGTTGATATTTCTTTTGAGCTATTATATCTTTTCCTATTATATTTGTCCTTGAGAGTGCATGCCCTTTTTATTGTTCTACTGTTACTTAAGTGGAATTCCCGAATACAGCAGTAATAAACCATTGTATTCAT